ATAAGCACTGCCCTACATTGCTAAGAAGTTGCTTCATATCATCCAGGAGTTGTGAGCATTAGCTGGAATTCCAATAATCCTGTTTTAATATTTCTAGTCATAATAATTTCAATTTCATCCAGGTAAACTTTTACAGCAAGATTAAAAAGGTTCACTGGTGTTTCATTTCTTAGTTGTTATACTGCGAGATGAAATGAGAGCCCCTGGGTGAGATTTAATCTTGCAGCTGTTTTGTTAAGAAATGTCTACACAGAATTAAGAATTTCCCCAAAAGAAATTCGTATCAACTGCTGCTCATTGTTTTATTTGACCTAGAACTTATTATTTTAGTTACTTTGTCAAAACCCTTGTTGTTATACATACAAAGTAAATAAAATTATACCTATATTACCTATCATATCACCTGTCAATAGTGTCTATTTTCTTTTTCTTATTTTTTTTTTATCAAAAAGGTTTCTTTCACTAAGGAGATTGTAACTATTAACAATTTTGAATCTATACAACAATGTATTCTCAGAACAAACAACATAACCCTAGGTCAAAACAAGCATTTCAGATTATTAAAAAGTCTACAATCTAAAAGGATCTCGAAAGAAATGTAACTATAGTGAAGCAAAGTTGCTCATGTTGGGAACATATATTTTAAAGTTCCTTATGGTAAGAAAGACTGATAGAAAGCAGAAACTTGACAGAAACCAAGCACATCTCCAAAGCTGTTGTCTCGATTTCTTGTGTTCTCTTATGTTTTTCACAATCTCCCTTTCTTAAAGAAGATCAAGAACATGGCTGAGATCAGATCATTTCTGTGAAGAGCATTTGGATCACAATTTGGATTTCCAGGGAGGAAACAGTATATTCCAGAGAGAAGCCCAAAATAAGAAACTGCACAGTCTTAACTGGATGGGGGAGGAGGAAGAGGTGTAGGATACCTATATTGTCTCGGGTGTATCTGCTAGGTTAAAAGATTATAGCTTTAGACTGGCAAGATTCTATCTATTGGGTATAAGCAAAAACATTTGGATTCAATTGGAATTCACAGGCTTATCTCTGGTCTAGGGCCTGACATACGTAGTGGCTGTTAATGTTCTAATCATTTTAATAATTTTTAAGCAATTTTCTTAAAATTAAGTAGGGGTTGGGTTAATTCATTTCATTGTGCTGTTTCCGTGTATTTCCTGTTAATAAAATGCTAGCAAAGAAAGAAGATTTGGTCCTGCTATGCCTGGGTTTTTTTTAATACTTTTTCACACACACACCACTTTTTTTTTTTTTTAACCTGCAAGATTTTGTCCAAGCAGATGGATTAAATCTGCTTCAAAGATGGTGGCAATATTCTTCAACCAACAGGATGAAGTTTTCTCAGGTCTGAAATTCCAAATAAACATTTTCTGGGTTTCTCCCTCCAAAGGGAGAAAAAAGCTAAATCTCCTTTTAAAGAGTAAACCAAGACTTCTTTCAGAGATCTCTTCGGGAAGGGAGGCAGAAAGCACAATGGCCCCTTCGAGCCTCGACAGCAGAGAAGGTTGACATCTCTCTCTCTCTCCTCTCTCTCTCTCTCTCTCTTGCTCTCCATATCTCTCTCGCTCTCCCTCTCCCTTTCTATGTGTGAATTAAATATTGTTTGCAGTGCTTATTGACAGAGCAGTAAGCTCTACTGTGTTTTAATTTGTTCTTTGATAGTTGCCTTTTGCTGCTAAATTGATTTTCAAGGGGTGAGGCTTTCCTGATTTAACTCCTGCCAGGCAATTGAAAACTGAAAGGCAAGGAAAACAGAGCTTGAGCAGGAGTTAGGAACCCAGAAAATCTCTGCTTCAGTAAACTACCTCAGCCTGATAGAGCATTTTAGCAGCTACACCATTCTCAGGCAGCTGTTGCCATGGAGTTGATTCAGGAGTGCTGAGGGATATACACATCCGAGTTTCCTAGCAACACATACACACACCTGATGGAATGGAGAGATCATTGGATAGGAGATTCTGTCACTAGTGGTGCACAGTAATTGTTAAGAATGGGAGCTGTGAGGTAGATGCTTCCATTTCAAAAGAAAAGTCTGCAAGGGTTCATTACTTGCCACCCTGAATCACAATCTGAACTAAAATTTGGAACTAAATTTTCTTGAATTGTTTCAAGAAAACAATAAAATGAGAGGCTTTCATTCTGAACAGAAAGATGCACTTGAAAGAAATCCTACAAGGGTCATACAATTTGCTACAAAATTTTAAAGTTGTCGCAATATAAATCTGCATAGTAATAGCATAGTATAGCAGTGTGAAGGTTTAAATCACCTTCAGATTTTAACCTGACGTCAATCAATATTGTGAGGTCCTTGGTGCTCTGTAAGTTTGGTTATTTTCTTGTAGATACTTCACTAGTAAACTAGATAACAACATAACAGCTAGTAGGGAGTGAGGTTTGCTTTCATTCTATATACTATACTGGTGACTTGCCCTGTCAGCATCAGTTGGAGTAGTCTTGGTGGTTCCTTTATTGGGCTGTTTTTACTGTTAACTTGTTTATCTGAGGTGGCAATTCCTTGATTGGAGTATTGTTTGTTTCTTGATTGTTGATCTAATATTAATATTGGTGTTAATCTCTGTTTATATGGATGTTGATTGCTGGTGAGGAGATCTTTTTTGTTTTCTTTTTTTTTTTTAATTTGATTTATATGCCGCCCTTCTCCGGAGACTCAGGGCGGCTTACAATGCGTTAAGCAATAGCCTTCATACTTTTGTATATTTATACAAAGTCAGCTTATTGCCCCCACAAACTGGGTCCTCAATTTACCTACCTTAGAAAGGATGGAAGGCTGAGTCAACCTTGAGCCTGGTGAGATTCGAACTTGCAGTAATTGCAGACAGCTGGTGTTAATCACAATGCTATCAGTCTGCTGAGCCACCAGTCCCTTTTTGGCTTTTTGATCATCTCTTTTGAATAGTATGTAGATTGTTGTTTATCTCTGTCAGAGTTTCTTGCAAAAATCAAATCCAGAAAGCACACACAGGCAGACTGATGCATTAACTTCTTTATATACATAATAATAGATGAAGTATTTACAATACCAATATCAGAGTTCTTCCCGTAGTAGCAGTTAAAACACAAGGCAGGAGAGAACAGTTAGTTTCATTTCAGCAGAGCAGACAATCATGCACAGACTGCTTAGTTTCAGTTTCAACTCTCTGCACAGAATCAGAAGCTGCAGACTGAGACACGCCCTGGCTCCAGTCTGTTTCAGCTCCCAATTGGCTGACTTAGTTGCTATGCCTATTCATTGGCTGATCTTATTACCGTGTCTCCATTCAGTCCCCATTGACTGATCTATTCCAGTCCATGAATATTCATACTCTGACAATCTCTGTGTGCCTGTTGATGACTGATTTGTCTGAGTGCCAGGCCTCCAAGAATTCTCTAGCAGTTTTAAACAAGGCTTGGTCTAGGACCATGATGGCGAACCTATGGCACGCGTGCCCGAAGTGGCATGTGGAGCCATGTCACCTGGCATGCACAACATCTCCCATTACTCTTCCAGGTTTCTGGTGCTCATGTACGTGCAGTGATCAGCTGTCCTTTTTGCATGCGGTACTACCGGAAACTGGAAGAGCTGATCTTCCGTTTTCCTGCCTGAGCTTGCGCGCCGGCCAGCTGATTGTCGCATGTGCATGCACGCCAGAAACCCAGAAGAGTAGCTGGCTGAAATCCGACGTTCAGTAGCTGAAACCGGAAGTTCATTTTTGGGCGTGCTCATGCGCCCTGGTCAGTTCCTCTTCTGGGTTGTCATCACTGATCTAGGATACTCATAGTTTCCCATGTATTGTGAAATTAAGGAGTTTTTATCATTTCTTCTGACTGCTAGCTGGTGTTTATAAATGTGGTCTGCTAGTCTTTTGCCTGTTTGTCCTACATAGTGACTGTAGCAACATAGAAACTATCAATAAACAACAGCCCAATCAAGGAACCACCAAGACTACTCCCACCAACACTGTTAAGGTAATCCACTAATATATAAAATGAGAGCAAACTCCACTCCACACTAGCCCTGATGATATTACCTAGTTTAGTAATAAAACATCTGCAAGAAAAAACAAGCAAGCTAGAGAGCAACCAAGGATCCCACAGTTCAACCTCAGCTACAGCTATTCTCTTCTATCAGTATCAGTCAAGCAATATTATAAGTGAATGATATACAGTAATAGAATTGTAACCAGTATGATTTCAATTAGAAGTTAGAGACTAGGATAAAAAATATAATAATTTCTGTTTAATCTAAAAAATGCAATGAGTTTAACAGTTATAAAAAGATTAAATGTTATAATATTGTGTTAGGAAAACCTCCAAATTTAGATATGCACAAAGCTATTTATAAGACTATGTCAAAAAATGTTAATTCAAGAGATAATTTCTATATCAGCGTGCTTGTTTGTATGTATGTATGTTGTATGTATATATGGACATATGCACATGTACACACTATGCATACAGTTGTTAGATTAGCACAGCACAATTACCATACTTATAGTGAATGCTCAAATTGGCTACTAATAGCATATTATCAGCAGATGAGGAGGTGTCACCCAGCTTGCTTCCTGTTTAGGAACCTCCAAAGCCCATTCATCACTTTTGAAGGTAAGAACTTTGTGGTTCCTCTCTCTTGGATGTTCCAAGGTTCTTTTTCCAAAAGGCAACTGAATTTTCTTGGGTTTTTTTTTTCCTTTGAAAACATTTTGCTTCTCATCCAAGAAGCTTCTTCAGTTCTGAATTGAAAACGTTTCTTGGATGAAAAGCAAAATTTTTCAAAGGAAACAAAACCGAGAAAGTTCAGTTGCTTTTTGGTAAAAAAGAATCTTTGGAACAACAATGACTTGGATGATTGAGAATTTCCATAGACATTTTTTTCTTGGGGCCTTTTCAAAGGGAAAAACCCATTGCCATACTATTTTGGGTGCATTATTACTACTTTCCTGACTTGATTTTTTTTAATGATACATCTCCTTTTCTTTTCCTAGGATGACCCAGAAGGGGAAGAGATTGAAAAAGAGAAATTCAATTCTTTGAAACTGGAATTCACAGACGATGATAACTTCAAAACCAAAGTTAATTACTCATATGCAGCTGTACAGATTCCTACAGACATCTACAAAGGCTGTAAGTTCTTCTTTGCAGAACTTTTCATATTGAGACCAAAGACCATATCCTATATATTCATTTTTTAAAAAAAGAAACTTCTATGACATAGACAAAAGAATTGAATTAATTTCCCCTTGCATGTACAGATCCTTATAGAAAAGTCACTAAAAAAACAAACCCAAAAAATTACTTATTCAATGCTTGAGTTTTCTGGGACTGATTCTTAGCCAGTTCTTTCCTACACTGTAATGTCAATTGGCTGCATGTAGGTACTCCCTTATCTGAATGTATAATTGCTCTACAAGAAAATGACTGTTGCTTTACTACAAGAAGATATTATATTAACCTTTCCTAAGCTGATGTTTTTCTGATGTATGAAAGGATAATTCTAACGTACCAAATAGTCTGGGTGTCAAGTTTCCGAAAGATGCCCTAATTAATTCATGAGCCATGATCCAAACTTCAAAGGAAATATAGTCATTTATTAGGAGCACCATTCCGGCAATACTGGGATGCAGTTAGGACTGATCCTGCATAGATTTATGTTCCCCTATGACCCTGTCTCTCCCCTCCTCTCTGGCCATGTCATAAATCACATTCTCCAATTAACCACTTTGGCTGGCTGTGAACCCTAATGCCTCCTTCTGATTGCGGTCAGAAAGAATGTATGGAAGTCACTTCAGTTCTCCCTCCCTCCTGTTCATGGCAACTTGAAAGCTTTGCAAGTTGACACTGGGATTATGAGAAACAGAGTCAGGTGTAACTAAATGTTGGGGAAAAGCTGAACTGGACTGCGGTCTCAAATAATATGGAAAAACTGGAGATGAATAATATCTCAAGAACACTGTGGATTATAAAAACTATTTGGAGTTATGCCTAATGTTTATGAACTAAAGACCTAAAAAGTGAAGTTGCCCTCAGGTTAAAAAACTTGATGGAAAAATGGAATGAGGTTTCTATAGCACCAGTGGTTAAATATGTAGGGAAGGAGAAGAACATCTTCGTCCCCATGTGCTGATTAAGCTTCAGTTTGATTGCTTTGTGTGTCAAGCTTTCATGAGCTTCAGCACTTTATGGATGTACAGGGTCACAAAGTCACAACTTTCTATTACAATTCAGAAATGTTACGGCATCTCTGAAAAATAATAGAATATAAAGGGAAATATTTAAAAGTCCATCCTCAAGCCTCAATTTGGCATCAGTTTCAGGCATACTGAGAGCCACTAAAATTGTAGACTCATAGAAGGAGGGTGGGAAGGAATATTGGAAGTCATCTAGTTCCATCCCCTGCCCAGTGCAGACTGGAGATTGTGTATTTCACTCAGAATGTATATATCAGTAGTCTCATAAAAACAAATTACATCCAACCTTGGTATGTATCTTCTAACAAAAAAGGATATTGATTGATGATGATGATGATGATGATGATGATGATGATGATGATGATGATACATTGATTCTTTGCTGTTACAAGGACTACACTGATTTCAGTACATGTCATGGAGTCTTAGGATTGGATAGATTTTCTATTTAGTGCAGAATTAGACTTCTAACGAAGGTGAGAGGCAGTTTGGTATAGTGTTTAAAGTGCTGGCCTAGAACCAGGAGACTGAGTTCTGGTCCCTCCTTAGGCATGAAAGTTGGCTTAGTGATTTTGGGCAGTCACTCTCTCACAGCCCAACTCACCTCACAGGATTGTTGTTGTGGAGATAATAGGAGAAAGAGGAAATATTTAGTATGTTCACTGCCTTGAATTACTTATAAAATAATAAAGGCAGGATTTTTAAAAAATCTAAATAAATAAATAAATAACAATAAAATAAAAAGTGAATTCACTACATCATTGTCAGTGAAGAACTCCTTCTGATATCTGGCTTAAACATGCTCACTTGTAGTTTTAATCCATTATTCTGGTTCTGACTTCTGAGGCAATAGAATATAAGTTCATTCCCTCTTTTATATCAAAATATTTCAGTTATTTGAAGACTGTTGAAGACCCTTTCAGTCATCCTTGTTGTAAGCTTAACATTCTTAAATCTGTTAACCATTCTCCCGAGGGCTTGATTTCCAGACCCTTCACCATCTTGACTGGCCTCCTCTGAATTTGCTCCAATTTGTCCATTGTCCTTTTGAACTATGCCTGCTGTCATAGGGTTCTGGAAACAGCCTCAGAGAAGACACAGGCACCTCTTATCATGAGCAGCTAAGTTGATTAGAAAATAAACTTTGCTTATGAAGTGAGCAGTGAACTTGCCTATTAACCATCCAACTTCCTGTTTTTGAGACTCACATCTCAAAATTCAAAACCCAGAGTGGGGTTAGCTGTCCTGCACCAAAGCCACCTATTGATATCTTTTTTTTAATGGTACTATCAGTGGTATCTCTTTTATGATGGCCTGCAATTTTGGCCAGATCTGCTGCTTGATCCTCTTTGAGAATTAGTACTGCTCTTCCTTTGCCTTGAAAGTTCCATTCCTTTGCTGAATCTTCTCATTCCATGTAGCAAAGAGTGGCTTTCACCTGAGCAGCTTGCCCAATAATGACTTCTGATTGTTTCAAAGTGGAATCGCCATGCTAATTAAAAGGGACACAACCATGTTCTTGAGTACCGTATTGAAAATGCTTCTCCTGAGAGTCAGAGAACTGAATCTGATGAGCTGTCGCAATGCGTGTTTCCATCACTTTGTTACTCGGCGTCTCAGGCAACTTTGCCCTTGCATCTCACTCCCTCTAAATTTTGCTTCCTTTCATGAAATGAAAGACGGGAAGTTTGTACATTCTCAGTCACAGAAGAGTTGACTATATGCATAATTTGCACTACAGGCTATCTAATTTCTATTTGGCGCACTATTGGTTTGTGCATTGCTTGTATTGTATTTCTGTCCACTGCTATTACACATGAGTGTATTTGTGTAGGGTAATTGTGAAGTAATTGGCTTACCACAGCAGAACTAATAAACCACAGTTCCTGAACCGGATGAATTCTACAAAGGAAAGGGGAAAATCATGACAAATTCAGCCAACCATGATTGCGACTTCGCCCGCACACAGTTTCAATCTGGGGCATTTTTAATGTATACGGTATTAATACATAGGGACGAGGTATATCTGCATCTGCCTCTTTGAAGTGATGCATTTCTCCCTCCCACCCTTTCTAGCATCTCAGGGAAATTGTGGATGTCCCAGGCTCATCTGCCATGGATAAATATGAAAAAAAGATATGATCTCAAATCTCTGTACCAGCAATAGAAGGAAAGAACTTTTCATCCAACCTTGCTAATCCTGAAGGGCTCTTTGCCCCAGGAAAACTTATTGGTGTAAACACTTCCAATAGATTTGCAATTTTGTGAGATTAAACTCTTCATGTTTCAAACTTCTTGCCATTGCTGCCTGCTTACAGCCCGATTTGGGTCCTGCCACTGGCTTGTCAGTGGGTGGAGAACTTATTCCTTCTCGACAGCTCCAGAACAGCCCTAGCCTAATTGAGGATTTTTTACTGAGAAAATTAATTTGCTGTTACCCCCTCCCCCAAGATATTATTTCTCTTTTGCTGTAGGAAGGTAGGGTGGAACAACTATTCTTGAAACTTACAGTAGCTTTCCTAGACTAGATAGTAACTGGGAGTTCATGAAGACTTATTTTATCCTTTTTTACCAAGAAAATGATGCTCCTTGAATGAGTTTCAAAATGTGCAATATTTTTCCAATGCATTGCTTACATTTCTTAATGTTTATTCTGCGCAACATGGTTGGAAAAGGACATAACCACAAAAGCAGGGTGCAATCCTCTTTTTAATCTCTCCTACAACCTTACCATTTATTGACATTAACAAAAGATTAAGCAAAGATGTTACCTAATTCCAGGTATCGATCAAAGATCCAGTGGTATTAGTAAGGAAAAAAAGCAGTCCTGCAGCTTCTAGAAAAGTCATGTCTTTCTCTTACTGTTTGGTAAGGGCCCATTCTTTGCTGCTGTTTACCTATATTGAGCATCCTACAGTCAAGAGACTGTGGCCCTTTCTCATGGCCCTTAGCTTCCCCATCAGTCAGAGGACAGTTTGTTGATTATGAATCTGCATTGCCAGTCTTTGAATTCAGCCATAGTACAAGTAAATGGAGCAACCGAGAGAAGGGGATCATTACGCACAAAGTATTAGCAGGCTAGTATAGGCTTCTCCCCATGTGGGACACACAAGATTTTTTATATACAATGCCCACTGTGCCTTCCTTTCATGCTATTCAGGGGAGAATATACCACGTGCTGGAAATATAACTCTTGGCCTCCCTTTAGTGGCAGCTTGGAGGATCAAGATTGTTAAATCTCTGACACCTGCAAGCTTTAAGACTTTAATATGGTTTTTAAAATTCTCTATTAAATCACTTAGGAGTTTAATCAAAAGTGACACAGAAGCTTAACTTTTACTGCCTTTCAGAGCCAGACTGTAAGCACAGAAAGGCGGATTTTCTTTTAAACGCAACTTAATAGCATTGTGTAGAGAGGCTAATTCTGCCCATTTTAAGGGCAACTGGTAGGGACATGGCACTAACCTAGCCTAGCTAATTCACCTAGTTGCCTAGCCTCATTAAAAGTATGAGACCTCGAACTGTCCCCTAATACAGAGATGTTCTCCCTCAACCCAATGCCCTCCAGATCCTAGGTTAGAACTCCCATAATTCCCTTCTAACATGTTAAGTGTCTGGGGGTAGCAAATCCAAGAACTTGCTAATTTGAAATTATGGAGGATATATTCAATCATTTGGCCAATACCAAATCAAGGAAAGGCTGTTTTTGGTGTTTGGCATCACTTAAAAATGATACTACCCAGTGTAGACTAATTCATTGGTATTTGTTGATTCTCTGAAACAAATAATTCAGCTAGGCAGTATTCACATACATCCAAATATATACCTATAGACACATGATCCTTGGAATCCATCTGCTGAATTGTCAGACTGGTTGACACAATACAACTTAATGTTATCCTTTTTAATGACATCTTCTGAGATACACCTACAGAG